ACTGTCCAAAGAGAAAACGACAAAGCTCTCAAAAAGAAAAATCAGTTGACTGAGGTTTAGAGAGTTAAATGAAGCATGAGGCTGAAGCTAAATACAAGAGTTACAGGTCTAGCTAGGATTTAGAGAGAGAGAGAAGGGTAAGGATTAGGATAATTTGTAATAGAAACCCGAACGAGTTAATGAAGGCAGATATTACCTCTGGGTGGTTAGCTTTCATATGAGTTGTGTTTGTTGTGTTAAAAGTTTGTCTTTCTTGTGTATAGTGCATCAGTTAACATATTTTATTCACTGTAGAAAAACAGATTTTTCAGGGCTGATATTTGTTTTGATTGGTCAATACCTATGTTGAATCTACTATTAAATATTTTAATACTGGCTGTAAAGAAAAAATAATGTCAAAATAGGGAGTTCCCTGGTGGCCTAGTTGTTAGGATCCTGGGCTTTCACTCTTGTGGCCCAGATTTAGTTCCTGATCAGGGAAATGAGATCTTGCAAGCTGCCATGTGGCCCAAAAAACAAGGTTATTTCAAAACAGATAGCTAAAAGGAAAAAGTTAATGTTTACTAGAAAGCTGCTAGTTTCAACAGCCTAGGGTAAGTGGACCACGTAGTAAAAAAATTAAGGAGTAATGTCACCACCGCCATGCGTGTACGCTCAGTCAGGTCCTACTCTTTGCAACCCCATGAACTGTAGCCTGCCAGGCTCCTCTGTTAATGGAATTTTCCAAGCAAGAAATACTGGAGCAGGTTTGCAATTTCCTATTCCAGGGGATTTTTCCAACCCAGGGATAGAAACCATGTCTCTTGTGTCTCATGTACTGGCTGGATACCTGTTAATAGCTGCCAATAGATACCTACTAATAGCTGGTATCTATTACTCTATGGCGTAGTGGTTGAGGTTATGGACTTTGCTGTTAGCCAGACCTTAATTCAAGTCCCAACTCTGCCTATACGACTTTGGGCAAGTTGCATACCTCTTTTAAATCTTCTATTTATCTGTTTTATAGGAATAATGTGCAGGATTCTGGCAGGACTCAATACAATCAAGCATGCCAAGGGCTGAGAGTAAGAGACACCAATTCCGGAGCGAGGCTGCTTGGGTTTGATCTCCACACAGCAACCCACCAGCCGTGTGACCTTGGGCAACCGAGCTCTCTGCGCCGCAGTTCTCTCATCAGTAAATGGGGAGATAAAAGCACCTATCTCAAGAGCTCTTGTGAAATACATAAGCTAATTGACAAAAGTGATTTGAATAGTTCCTGGCACATAGCAAGCACTGCATGCATGGTAGTTATTTTCATTATTAAACTGAGCGTCTACAGAATAAGAAATCAGAAAATATTAGAAATCATTATTATCATTGCGTACCTAATATTATCATCACGACAGCTTTTTCAAGAGGTTTGGTGGTAAAGAGAAAGAAAATATATTTACTTTTCCTCTTAAACAAGGAAGACCTAAGCATATTATAGAGAAAGGGGACAAACAATACAGAAAGAGAAACTTCTCTGAAAATGTAATAGACACAGAATCATTTATGAGATGAAGCCCTGAGGAACTCAGTTTCCCTCTTCGTAAATATCATCTGAAGAATCTAAGAGACACAATGTTTAAAGATACTTTGGATGAAGGTTTAAGACAGAATATATATCTTTAAATATACCTTTGAACACATAGACATATATTTACATTTCTTCTACGGAATGCATTTTCCTTTAATAGCTACTTGGTTTTAAAATATTTAGCTTCTCTTTTAGAGATCTACCCACAAACTCCTTCATCTCCCCAGAAGTTCATTTAAAATGGAAATTTTAAGCAAAATCCAGGAAGAAAATATATACAATAGAGAGGGAAAAGGTTACAGGCAAGCAAAGGTTTTTCTTTTAAATATTTGTTTTTAAATTTCATGTTTGGACTAATTATCAACAATATCCATCAGGGAAATGATGCTAGTAGATGTCTATGGACCAAAATAAAAGATTGGAGTTATATATTTATATATGTATAAAAGTTAAGATTAACAACAAATGGATTTAATTTTCACCTCTATGATTGTGGGACAACCATAAAGCAACCACTATGTTTCAGACACCAAGGATTAAAGAAGAATCAAAGTGGAAAAGCCACGATGAAAATTTCTCATTCCAACACCATCTGCCTATAAAAGGAACAGATCTGGAAAGCCAGTCTTAACTCTATCATTAAACACTTTCTTTTTGTCAGTGAAAATGAGTACCACTACACTAATTTCACAAAGATTTCTGGACAGTCTAGCCACTTAAAAAGTTGTTATATAGTATCATAATAAACTCATATGTTTAAATAATATTACATATTACTGCCCACTCTTTAAATAAAATAGAAAATAACCATGTAAACCAAAAGTACTTTATCAATTAAGTCACATTCTAATGATTTACAATTTAAAAAGTGATTCCTTGAGAAAGCATTCCTTTCGCTTTCTTTTCTTGATTACTCCTTAATACCATCTCTCAGGGGAGAAAAGTCCCTAAAATTAACACCTACAGGGGGAAAAAAAATCTAAGCTTTATACCAAAGTAGGAACCATATTTATAGGAAAATGCAGCTCATTTGAAGCTGTCTCTGTTCAGAAGGGACCCTGAGAAAAGGTAACACAGAAAACAGGATGCTTTACCATTGTCACTGGAATCTTATGCCCACATATATTTGTTTCTATCCTGTAATTCCTGGCATATCTACCTAATTAGAATATTAAACAGTTATTCTTGAATGACCTTTATTTCTCTGCCAATCAGGAAAGTTACTTTTCTACCCTCCCCGACCTCAAACAGCTCCTCAAATGGAGGACCAGAGGACGCATGGTAGGTGGAGATGGGAAGGGTAGGGAGGTGGGGTGGAGCAGAACTCATATCCAACAGGAATCATCATCATTCAGTCCCCCTGACCTTTCTGCATCTTTCCACTCACCTGTGTGAAGAGATCACAAGGGAAAACAAACCCCATGGAAATAAGGGAGAGCTGAGCACTGTAAAGTGCTTCATTTAATCTTCCTGCTGTACAGGTGATGACTCTGCCCTGTAGAAAGGATTCCCAGCAAGTAGGTCCTAGAACTGGGATGAGAACCTGGTGAGTGATATAAAACCTGTGCTCCATTTCTTTCCCATGTCACTCTTCCTCTCTAGCAGCATGACCCTATTGTCCAAATACATAATCCTCTTGCGTTCTTTTTTAATAAAAAGCACTTTCATTATGGAAATTTTCAAAAAAAACCTCAAAGTAGAGAGATGCACTCCCATGTGCCCAGTGAGCCCTCCTGGTTTCACCTGCCCTCTTCCTACCACTTTTTTCTCTGACTTATTTAAAAACAAATCCAAGACATTTTGTTTGAACTTCAGAATGTCTCTAACAAACCAGATCTTGAACAAACCAATATAACATTACCATACCCCCCAAAAATTATTCCTGAGTATTGCTGTATGCCCAATTACTCTTATCTTACCCTAAAATTTCTCTGCTTATCTTAAAAATGTCTTCTTGCAATCAATTTGGATCAAGATCCAAACAAAATCACGAGGTCCACACATTACTTTTGGAAGATGTATCTGCCTAATGCATGCCAGTTATCTTGACCTCCTTCCTTTTCTTTTTAAAAAAATGCCACTTACATGTAGTCTTTATGGTTGATAGAATGTGTTTCTCTAGCTCCTTTATTTCCTATAAACTGCTAAGAGCTTGATCAGATTGTGGTTCACTTTTATCATCGTTGTCTCAAAGCTGCTCAGGTGGTACTGCGGACTCCCTACTGCATCACCTCAGGAGGCAGTTAATATCCAGCTGCCTTCTATTACTGTTACAGTAATAGATAGTTCCTCAGGTGATTTGAGTTTCTAAAAGCTTATCCAAGACCATACATTCAAGGCAATATGCACATGGTGATCAAGAACCCAGATTAATTGAGAGCTGTCTGGGAGACAACAGTGGTTATCACTCAACAGACCAGGAACTGTTCCTCTAGGTAGGTTGAAAAGTGGGGAAGAGATGAAGGGTTCAACTAGAGATGGAGAGGAGCCCAGGAGATGAACATGATGCTCAAAAGAACAAGATACTAAGTTCCAGTTATAGTTTTAAAAGACATTTTACACACTTGTATCAAATAAATATCATTTTACACACCTTTTCCAAATAAAGTCACAGAGAATTTTAGAGTCGTTAATTTTATGATGTTAATTCACCAAGATAGTCTTAGGAATTTTTCTACCTTTCCTGCTAAAGAGAAAGGTTCTGATCTCTAAGCCAAAGGTTCTCAACTTGACCTCAAAGTATATTCTCCTGGGAAGCTTTAAAAATCCCAAGGTGTGGGTCCCACCCAATCCTGATTCAACTGCTGTAGGTTGGTATTATTTAAAAGTCTGGTATTATTTAAAAGTCTATCCAGGTGACTCTAAAATGCAGCTGTAATTGAGAACCACTGTTCTTAGCTAAAAATAAAGACAACAGCAGCTAGTATTTACTAAGCAAATACTATGTGTCAGGTACCACTCTAAGCACTTCACATGTACTAGTCTCATTTGCTATATTACAGCTGAGGAAAGAGAGATCAGGTAACTTTCCTGAGGACACAGAGCAAGCTAAAAGCAGAGTTAGTACTTTACTAACAGGAAGTTTGAATCCAAAACCCGTACTCTTAATTACCATGATATACTGACTCCTAAGCAAGACTTATATTTAACTGCAGATAAAATTATCAAAGAAAAAAACCAATACAAAAAGATAATTAACTTCTACCTCCTTAGAAGCAGTAGAGTGGTATCTTGTTACAAAGGAACCAACACAAGCTTATTAGAAAAGTGGACAAGACAGACAAGAATCTTCTCTTCCCAAAAGAAGATTCAAGTTTAAGATTTCCAGACATTTCAGTAATTTCCCACATATCCTATGGAGCACAGTTACTCGGTGTTAAGCATCTAATATGACTTCAGTTTTAAAACTCTGGGCACGGATATATTGAAAATGTCCTACCTATTTCGGTTCTACTAACTCCAATTCCATTGTAAATTCTCAAGTAATTAAAGTGGCAAGAATCAGAATCTTCGATGTCAAAGTCACCAAATTTGATGCGCACTCTCTCTCCCGTCTTTACACGAATCTCCCATTCGCAAACAGTGCTGTTAGGATAGGTGTGTGGGTAGTTTATAGACGTCAGGGTTCCACTTTCAGGACCTAGTACAGTATGTCCACATCCATCACCTTAAAAAAAAAAAGTTAAAGAAGTGATATATTATTCTTTACATCTTTAACTTACACTATAAATAATCAGGGTTTTGTGAATATTTTAAAATATGTATGACATCAGATATTTCATACCAACCGCCAATACTTCCCATACACAAGATAAACTAGGTGACGTGGTTCTTGGTAAATCTACTTGTGTGAGCCAGGAGAAGCCAGGTTAGGTCAAAATAATCAGTGGTTAGCTTTATGAGTTCAAAGAACCTTCCAATCAGAATAAACAGAAGTAAACATAACTTAGTAACAATTATACCATATTTATATAGACATATCATAATAAATCCAATCTTTAAGAGTATTCACAGTAATTGTTCAAAATAAATAAAACTATAAAAATAAATCTACATGATCAGTTTCATCTATTTACTTACAAACACCACAAGCCTCTTCTAAAATCTCTGTAAGAAGTTGAATGATTTCTAAAAATACTTAAGCTGTACAAAAGACTGGGGCTTCCCAGGTGGCTTAAGTGGTAGAAGAACCTGCCTGCCAATGCAGGAGACTTAAGAGATGGGGGTTCGACCCCTAGGTGGGGAAGGTCCCCCAGAGGAGGACACAGCAACCCTTCACATCTTGGGAGCTGCATTATTTGTTCCAGAAATTCCCTCAGCAACTGAATATTCCCTAGCTAACTTAACACACTGTAAAAATCCAATATCTGCATTCTTTCCTTTATCATAAATGTGCTATTTCACTGAGCACCTGCAAAGAGACAATAATACTGATTAAAAAGTTTCAGCTGCTGCTCCAATTGTATCATTTAGCATTCCTTAATGATGGGATTCAAATAAATGTCTAATATGAAAATGAATACATCCTTTCAAAATGATAGTATTTTCTCCTTCAAAAAAGCTGTTTATGATCACCTTTTGGAATAGTTTAGAACTTAGGGGAAAAAAACACTATTAAGAGTGATACTTCTCAGTTTTAACCTCAATATGGATACAGATAAATTGAAGAAAATTTTCTATTATCTTGATTTTTTATTTTTAAGAACAACGCAGCACTGATTTTATTTATTCGAACAGAGTTTTAAAGGCCTATGAATAAGAACATAGTATCTAAGAAGTAGCAGTTGTAAAATAAATGTTTATTTGCAAGGAGATCCAACCAGTCCGTCCTAAAGGAAATCAGTCCTGAAAATTCTTTGGAAGGACTGATGCTGAAGCTGAAACTCCAATACTGTGGCCACATGATGCAAAGAGCTGACTCATTTGAAAAGACCCTGATGCTGGGAAAGACTGAGGGCAGGAGAAGGGGACGACAGAGGATGAGATGGTTGGATGGCATCACCAACTCCATGGACATGAGTTTGAGTAAACTCCTGGAGTTGGTGATGGGCAGGGAGGCCTGGCATGCTGCAGTCCATGGGGGTCGCAAAGAGTTGGACACGACTGAACAACTGAGCTGAACTGAATTGAATGAATAAAGAAACTGTACATTAACCTATGAAAAAGTTATCTCTAACTAGTCCCAAAACTAGCTTCAAGGAAGGAACAACAACTCTGTACCTAGATTCTGAGGACAATACAATTCTGAGGACAATTAGTATCTTGCTAATAAAGAAATTTTACTCTCAAATCCACATTAGTATTGTTACTTAGTCTACTGAGGTCAATGCCAACATCTGGCTTCTTAAATCAATCTCTCTGTTGGTAGCTTTTAACCAACATTGTGCTTAGTCACTCAGTTGTGTCTGACTCTTTGTGACCCCAGGGACTGCAGCCCACCAGGTTCCTCTGTCCATGGGGATTCTCCAGACAAGAATTCTGGAGTGGGTTGCCATGCCCTCCTCCAGGGGATCTTCCCAGCCCAGGGATCAGACCCATGTCTCCCTCATTGCGGGCGGATTCTTTACCATCTGACCCACCCGGACTTCATTTGTCTTGTAGACCTGCCCTCACTCCACACACAAAAATGAGGCATTGTGGCTCAATGATATCATAATACAGAAAGGCACCATTAAATAAACCTGTGAGTTTTTGTAATACATCCACTGACCTTTTACAAACATAAAATTTAGAACGTTATACAACTCAGAGGAATAGAAAATAACCACAAATTTCCCCCTGAAACTACCATGAAAATACCTTTAATATTGCTTCTGGGTATTACATAAATTAAAAACACAGGGATACAAAAACTTCCCTTGTGAAAATAAATGAATTATAATTTAAATAACTTTTGAATAATCACCAACATTTTTCCTTAGAGAAAAAGACAACCACCCTAAGAGAACGTCTATTAATAGCAATATGAAACTAGTCAGAAATGTACTCTTAGCACTGAAAAGATGAAACCAAGCTTTCTGGAAGTGTTTCAATCTTTAAAAAGTAACCCTGAATAAATGAAGTAATTCAAAATATAAGTGTATTTTCTTTAGTATGTATAAAATTAAGGCAGTTTTTTAAGTGATTAGAAGTGTTGATGGCTTTCAGAAGGCCAAGAATTTTGCTATTAACAGCTGAAGTCAGAACTTAGTAATGGCAGATTGTGGCATTTCATGTATTCCCCACAGGCTATTATTTAACCTAAGGTTGTCATGTAAAAATGAATTTTTCAAAAAGACCATAAGCAGAGTGTGAGGAGATATCTTTTTTAGATATCAATTTTTAGATATCTTTATGTTCATATTTGATTCTTCATAAACGCACAAAATGTCTTTTTGCCTTTTCCTCTGCGCAGTGTAGTTCTTACAAAAGTTAACAAAACAAATACTAACGGATGAAAAACAGGATTTTTGCACATGTGCTGATGAAGAAAACAATTAAAATGGAGCTGTCTTTTTTTCAGTATCTTGTGTAGGGGGAGGGCATGAACAGTCCACAAGTTATGTGCCAAGAATGTTCTAAAATATGTGATGGAGTTCAGAGCTTTTCTCCTCTTGCAAACAAGATGATATGCACTAAAGTTAAAAGTCTCAAACCTACTGCAATGCACAAGCCTGAATCTTTCATATTTCCAAGTCTATCTGATAAGTTTAACCTGATTTGATAAATAGTTTAGCTGGCCTGACCAAATACCTACTGCTATGAAGAACATGTTTAGAATATTCCAGTTGGAAAGGGATACTACGCCAGCAGTTTTCAAATGTTTTTCTCTGTTATTACAAAGTAAGAAATATATTTTACACTGCGACTCAATATGGTTTTAAATATATATTCCTGACCCACCAAAGGGTCCCCACCTGCACAACAACAACGAAACACTGTGTACCACGCATCCAAAGGTGACAATGTTGAATTCTCAAATCAAAGAAAGACCTTGTGCTCATTTTTGCCCCCAAATTAGAAAATGTGCTTCCAGTTTATGTCTACAGTGCTTAAAAGTGAAGCCTAGTCTACACCAAAATAGTGGAAATGGGACGACATATTTTAAAATAGCACTGAAATCGGCAAAGTATTATCAACAAATCACCTAACACAGGAGAACAGAGGTTCTCAAACGGGGATGGGGACATTGGAGCAATTCTACCTTTCACTTGGCAGAGCATAGAGATGGGTGGGAAAGATGCCCTGGAGGAGGGCATGGCAACCCACCCAACCTGACTGAGCCAGTAAATAACAAGAGGCAGGTCACCACTGGAGGGGGAGGGGCTACTAGCATCCAGCGGGTAGAGGCCAAAGATGCTGCTCAAGTATCTTACAAGGCACAGGACAGCCCCCAAGAATAAAAGGGTGATGGACCCAAAGTGTCAAATAGTGTCAAGGCCGAGATGGGCTGACTTGGAGAAAAGGCTAGGGCGTCTCCAACAGAAGATCTGAGCTAGTTCCTTTTCCTCTGGCTAAGGGTACAACCCAGGGAATAGTTTTTCCCACAAGGTCAAAGAAATAAGCAGAAAGCTTATTTTTCTTTAAGCCAAAGAGGAAAAAAAAAAGTTCTTATTACTCTGCAGCCCTCAAGTATTTTTCTTGGTCGGGGCCCCTCACTTAACACGAGTGTTTGAAAAAGGATGGTAATAGGGTCAGGAAGTAAGAGTCTCCAGATTTTCTGCTTAGCTTTGTAACTGGAAAGAATAATAATCTGTGACCAGGCTAACACTACCTACTATTACTCACTTTCACAACATAGAATTGACAGAGAGTGTAACCACTACTGGAAAAATAATTTTCAAAATGGGTATCACAGGACCACTCCATACACTCACTCTCATCAGTAACTCCACAGGGCCAGCTCTTTCTCCCTCCCCAAGTCCATCATCACCCCCGCGCTTGTCGGCTACTTCTTCTTCCCTAGATGGTCTCTACCAGACTATAGTGGGCCATAAAGGTAGGAAGCCTCTTGATGCAATTTTTGAATTTTAATTTTATTTCAGTGGACAGAAAACACTGGAATTTGATTTCACTGCCCCTTTGGCTGCAGATGTATCTAGGGGATTACTCAGAGAACATGTGTTCACTTCCTCTAAATACTGTCAGGTCAGATGTGGTAAGCCAGATACAAATTTTGATACTGCTCCAGGAAAATAGCTGAGTAATTTTTTTTTTATTACATATCTCAAGAGAAAACACAAGGAATGTTAATTTAAATAGCAGTGAATTAATACAACAAAGAACACATGCTTATTTTAGGCTGCTTTCTAAACATCAAGTGTGTTTTTTAGATACACATGTGCTCACGATTCTGATTTTATGTAACCCTCCAACTATGTGACTACCCATATTGTAGTCACATTAGTATTAAAAATAATAGAAATGATCTTATTTAATTTTATTAATATGAACACGAAGTGACTTATAAAAACACTTTAACAAGAACAAACACAAACGTAGGAAACTTGCATAAATATGCCAAAAATGTAGAGCAAGGCAACTTTCATTACAATCTTTATAAACTAGGAGAGTTATACTTTTCCAGTGGACTTTCAAGGGTTTTTGTCACGGTGCATGGGTGAGTCTGACTGTATACTTCCTCTAAATATTAGTCACTTCTGTCACATGTTGTAACACATCTGTGAG